TGCATACTTAAAAGGGAGTATTAGGTACCAGTTTGGTTGAAAGTAAAAATATTTACACATACACAAGGATGATTATAAACTGAAGATGGAAATGAATGAGAATTTTTGTAAATTGGAAATGATAATTGGTAGAGTTGTTTTATTAATATCACATCACAGACGGCGAGTTGAGAACATGAACACATGTAATACACAAATTTAAAGATGCATTACTAATTTTTTTTATACTATTATTTTATTGCATGAATAATCTTCTATATAAGTTAGTTATCACATGCACTAATAAAGATGAAATTAAAATAAATACACATATACATAATGGGTATAAACAGATTTAAGAGAGAAAGAGATAGAATAAAACAGTTTTTGGTACATTTAGTGGTGAATGAGATCATTTAACACAGATAAAGTATATAAGTCTGATAGGACGTAAAAATGTTTTAAATAATAAAGATTTGGATGAGTAACCAAGGAAGGACAAATAGGGGAGAAGGTCAGAACAATTTTTTTTTTTTTTTCATTTTTTGTTCTCGCCTTCTGGATAATTGTATACTTAAAGGACCACTATAGTGCCAGGAAAACATACTTGTTTTCCTGGCGCTATAGTGCCCTGAGGGTGCCCCCACCCTCAGGGTCCCACTCCCGCTGGGCTGGATGGAGAGGAAGGGGTTAAACACTCGCCTTTCTCCAGCGCCGGGCTCCCTCGGTGCTGGAGACTCTCCTCCTCCTTTCTCCGTCATCGGCTGAATGTGCATGCGTGCATTCAGCTAGTCTAATAGGAAAGCATTCTCAATGCTTTCCTATGGACGCTGGCGTCTTCTCACTGTGAAAATCACAGTGAGAAACGCGGAAAATCACAGTGAGAAACTGTTATGTTTACAGCAGAAAGGGTTACTCCTAGGTGGACCTGGCACCCAGACCACTTCATTAAGCTGAAGTGGTCTAGGTGCCTATAGTGGTCCTTTAAAAAGGTAGTATAAGGTACTAACATGGTTGAATGCATAAGTATTTACACATACACAAGGGTAAATATAAATCGTAGATAGAAATGAATGAGTTTTTATGTAAATTGGAAATGATAATGGGTATAGATATTTCTACTAATATTCTCACATCACAGATGGCGAGTTGAGAACAGAAATATAAGTAATACACATATTTAAAACCGCATTACTATTTTATTTATAATATTATTTCATTTTATGAATAACCTTCCAAATACATGACGTACCACACGGCACTAATAAAGAGGAAAATAAAAGTATTGATATATATATATATATAATGGGTATAAATAGATTTATGAGAGAAAGAGATAGGATAAAACTGTGTTTGGGCCATTTATAATTTAAAAAAGATGAAGTATATAAGTTTGATATGACTTTTTTTTTTTCTCCACCACAGAACCCCAGGGAAGTCACCCTCCTGCATCTAAAAGGTAGGAAACAGGAGGGTGACTAAAATATTTTGTATATGTCTATGTTTGTATGTATGTGTATGTTTGTATGAATGTTTCTCTGTATGTGAAACATACAGGCTATTTTCCCCGGATCCTTACATTACATGGCGATGCAAAGCCTCAAGACAAGGTATCTGTGATAATTGTGATAAAATCCAATTAACTAATTAAGAATGATTGATTGATCACTAATGAGCAAATTAATCTATCATAGATAGTTAAGATGGCACTTCGCTTAAACTGTGTCGCACTAAGAAATTCAGCTTGTGTCGCACTAAGAAATTCAGCTATGATGACATTGCATAAAATGCTTAAACTGTGTCGCACTAAGAAATTCAACATTGCCTGGAATATTCCATAGCATGTCTGGCCAATATCCAAAAAGGCCCACGTGCTGAACAGAGGGAATTGGTGCCAACAAATGTATGGAAAGATAAGAGTAGGGACATAGATAGAATAAGATACCGCACGTATCTGGCATGAGCCTTGGGTGGTCACGACTGGCCTGATCAACCATACTGATGACCTAATGCGCATGACAAGATACATGCTGGGCTGCACTGATAAGAAATCTTGGAAAAGTTACAAACTTGCTAAAAGGTATAAAAGACGGAGAAACTTGGCACTCACTTGGAGAACTACCCACCTGTAATGCGGACGCGTGTTGCTGGTCTCTGCTGTTCCCAGAGAGGGTCCCTCCATGCCGACTGCCAGAGTTGTCCCCAGTCAAGTGCAGAGGACACAAGCCCCTCTAACGGTGATGTATACTTAAGCTGATATATCTAGATACTAAGCTGTTTTGAAGTGAATGCATGCAACTGCTTAATGAGAATTAAGCTTACTCTTTATTGGGTCCCCTTGTGGACAATAAATTGTGGTGTGAATTCTTATCTGCAACTTGGTCTCTGTGTGGTTTCTTTTTCCTATAGCCCAAGACACTCATCTCGAACTGGGTTGTGTGCCCGCCAATATCGTTATAAACCTTATTAGGTAATTGATTATTACTTTTTGGATATTGGTGCTTCATGAATTTAATGATTAGGCACAACAGTATCCTTGCAGATCACAGTGCTACGACCAACCGGTTTTCCTTACAGACAATGTCTGTCTAGAGTTAGATTGGTGGCTCTAAAACATGGAAGCCTGTAATGGGAAAGCTATATTCGGGTGCCAACCCGTTTTTGTCCTCGAGTCCGATGCCAGCCTCCTAGGTTGGGGAGGCACCTGCTCCGGGCCTTTCTACAGGGGGTCTCTGGACCCAGTCAGAAAGCTCAATGCACATCAATTGCCTAGAGATGATGGCGGGCACCTTTGCGATTCGCGGTTTTGCCAAGGACGCTTATGACTGCTCTTTGATTCTCAGAATGGACAATGTTTCCGCTGTCCGTTATGTCAGTCGTCTTGGAGGCTCCAGTTCAAAGCTCCTATCAGACCTTACAAATGAACTCTACCTGTTCTGTCTAGGGAGGAATCTCTCTCTTCAAGCGGAATATCTACCTGGGTCGGACAACCTCGTGGCGGACTGGTTTTCCCGTCACTGGAGGGATGCCAATGATTGGCACCTAGACCCGAGTGTCTTCCACCATCTGCATCCACGTCGCGGGCCCATCATGTTGGACCGGTTTGCGTCCAGACTGACCCGTCAGACAGACGCTTTCTTCAGTTGGCTATCAGACCAGATGTCTCAAGCCGTCAATGCTTTCCTACAACCTTGGCCATCAACAGGAGCTTATGCGTTTCCACCTTTTTCCCTGATTCCTCGCACTTTTCATCGCCTCAAGGTTCTGGGAGTCACAGTCCTGTTAATAACTCCTCTCTGGAGAGTCCAACCTTGGTATCCCAATCTCTTAGAAATGTCCGCGGATCAGTTTTCACACCGGGGCCCCATAGATCGTGTGTGCACCACTGTCTTAGGCCTATGGATTGTTAAGGTAGTAGAAACTTTTTGATGTCCCTTGTGTCCTTTCTCAAATGTCTCTTCTGCTTTTTAGTTTTCCTACTCATATTGGGTGAGGAATGAGCATGTCTGACTTGATCTGCTGCCTTATTCCATCACAGAAAAGTATGAAGAGTAATCATTTAAACAAGCAGTGCCCTGAATTAATCTGGTGCTCTAGATATGCTGAGTTGAACTTCCTGAGCTGGGGGTGCCCTTTAAGCTTAACAGCACTTCCATTACTATTGTCTGGAACCACAATTACACCAATGTCTTTTGAAACTGCTAGGCCACAATTTACTGGATTTGCCAAGAGGTCATAGTGTGAAAAAGAAGTTGTCTAGAGAGCTGTTTTCTTCTCTCTTCAAAAATTTAAGTTTACTCCCTAGAGGGCAGATAATTGTACAAACATTTTGGAGTCCATGCTCAAACGTATCGATTTTGTTTGTCTGCATACGACTGCCTGTGATGGCTACCAAACTCCCGTTTGATCTCCATCTGTATTAAAAGCTGGCAAAGCATCATCCGACTTGTAGTTCTACTTCAGATGGGTTACCTTTTTGTCATCAATGGAGTAAATAATTTCAAAAATTCTGTCAATATTCAAAAGATCTTTTTGTACGAAACTCTCTTTGGTCTAATTTAACACCAAGATTCCATAACTTGTACTGTTTTACTCAACGATGCAGCAGAGTAAACTTTATAAAATCTGAGACCCTTCCTGTAAGCAGTATAGAGTCTTCACAACAATTAACAATATTTGCTTTCTATATCCAGACCTGGAACATTAAAGCACTTGAGTTAATTCACTAAAGAAGAGAAGATGTTTATAACCAGTAGTAGCCAACAAATACCTCTCCAGCTATTGATACTGCATTTCTTAACATCAGCTTGCCTTGTTCTGATTGAGAATAATATCAACAGCCAATTACTGGAGGCAACTTTCAAATGTGGAGTAAATGCATTAAAAAGCAGCTTTAGGTGAGTTTATAACCGAAGGATGACTTAATACACAGCGTGGTTCCTTATTAATGGTACTGCCCAACTTAGCTGGTATGAGAAATGTAACATTTTTAGAAGTATGCTTAATAAGCTCACATTGTGTATACATGCTTGGTACATTGGAAAATGGATTTAATTTGCAAAATATGCCCTTTTAAGATGTGGATTACTCTCAGTGTACCAACAGCTGGATCAGGAGTCCTGCAGGTATGTAAATAGTCTACGTGCTCACAATTAGCGCTACAAATTAATTGTTAATTTGTTTGAATGGTGGATATGTTACATTGAATTATGGTACGTGCTTTATTTCACACAATATAGGTGTATTACTGAGAATATTATGGCAAGAGAGGAGGCTTCATATTTGCTTTACTTCCTTTACTGTATCCTCCCAGCAGCAAAGAAATAGTTAACAGTTTGAACAAAAAAAAAAAAAAAAAAAACCAATCAGAACATATCTAGTCAGTGATGTGGCTGTGAGACTCCTCCCAACTCCTCTTTCTTTGCTGCTTGCCTCCCAGATGAGTCAATTCTGATTATACAAAAGATGACTTAAAGGTAGGCATACAATGTAATAGAGCAGCAGGAAATGCTAGCAGAATGCTTGGTTGTATAGGGAGAGGTATTAGCAGTAGAAAGAGGGGAGTGCTCATGCCATTGTACAGAACACTGGTGAGACCTCATTTGGAGTATTGTACACAGTACTGGAGACCGTATCTTCAGAAGGATATTGATACCTTAGATAGGGTTCAGAGAAGGGCTACTAAACTGGTTCATGGATTGCGGGATAAAAAAAACTTACCAGGAAAGGTTAAAGGATCTTAACATGTATAGCTTGGGGAAAAGATGAGACAGGGGGGATATGATAGAAACATTTAAATATATAAAGGGAATCAACACAGTAAAGGAGGAGACTATATTTAAAAGAAGAAAAACTACCACTACAAGAGGACAGTCTTAAATTAGAGGGACAAAGGTTTAAAAATAATATCAGGAAGTATTACTTTACTGAGAGGGTAGTGGATGCATGGAATAGCCTTCCAGCTGAAGTGGTAGAGGTTAACACAGTAAAGGAGTTTAAGCATGCGTGGGATAGGCATAAGGCTATTCTAACTATAAGATAAGGCCAGGGACTAATGAAAGTATTTAGAAAATTGGGAAGACTAAATGGGCTGAATGGTTCTTATCTGCTGTCACATTCTATGTTTCTTTTTTTTTTTTTTTTTTTTAATTTTTTTTTTTTGTAGTGCATAGAAACGTAACAGAACGTGCATGCGGTACCCCAAAGGCAATCCTCATGCTTTTTTCAAACATTAAGTACAGTGAGGTATATATTGGTTCTTGCACATTTTTAGTGTTAGTTTAAGTAAGATTAGGCTATAGCAGGACTTTGCACAATTCTTGGCACATTAGATACAGTCTAAACAACAGGCTATACAAAAATGTCTGACCACTTGTATTCTATCCTATTCTGCTTAAGTCATCGACTTCAAAGTGGATGCGTAATACTATAATTAGGCTTAGTCTGCACGTTTGCCGGACTGTTGACATCATAGATTATGCATTTGGCATTAAGATTAATAAAATTAAGAAAAAAAAAAGAGAAGAGAAAAAAAAAAAAATAGAACACAACAGGCTATACAGTAACATCTGACCACATGACTTCTATCATTCTGCTGAAGTCACCGACTTCATAGTGTATGCTTAAAACCATAATTAGGCTTATGTTGCACGTTTGCTGATCTGATGACATCATTGACTATGCATAGGTAGGAATTCAAGTGAGTACTACAGGCTTGTACTAGGAACTGTCTGCGACTTTAAACTGCATGTTATACTAGGTCGCACGTTTGTTGGGCCTAGGCTGTAGCATTAAGATTAATACATTTAGAAACCACAACCGGCTATACAATAATGTCTGACCACATGAAGTCTGTTATATTCTGCTTACGTAATCGGCTTTAAAGTGTATGCTTAAAACTACATTTAGGCTTAGTCTGCATATTCGCTGATCAGTCGACATACTGTGCTAGGCCATTTTGTTCAGAGTGTTTCATTAGCTACTACTTTATGCTAAACATCATGGCAAGACCCCTACTGGGCCTAGGTGCCAATTCGAATAACATTGCTATATGAGTATTATTCTGTGTGAACTTATATGGGACAGTCTGTGCGGTGGAGACCTGCAGTATTTCGCTGCATGGTTTGCAGGGGCACAAATTATCTCTTATTCAGGCCGCCCTGTTTAGCCGACTCCGGCTCTGTCGCTTTGACTGTTGGGCTCAGCTGGTATCCCCATGAGGCTCCGATTTGGCTGGAAAGGTGGGTACCTTGGTGGGGCTCCGTCTTTCAGGAGAGCCCTCCGGCCTGGAATGGACGGCTCCACAGTGTGATCGTTATCGCTGTCGGCTCTGCCCGACCTCCTCTGTCGGGTGGCGCTTAGCGGGATAGTTGTTGCCAAGATCGCCTGTTGGTGTGCAGGTCGGGTACTCTTACGGGTTCCATTTTCGATTTTAAAGGTGCGTGTTTTGGCCTGTCGGGATGCCAGGCTGGGGCCCCGTGGGGGGTTCCACTGCAGGCAACGGCGAGTCGCAGGGCGGATCCACGCTGCCAGCGCTTTCACCGCCAGTCGGAATGGCCGTCTCCTGGCATTAAGCTTCTCCCACAGGTATGAACAGAGCCTGTTGAAGAACTCCGTTGTGTGCTTGGGTGGCTTGAGAGGGGTGTGTTTCTTCCCGCGCTGTGCTCGCGCCGCCATCTTAGCTGGGCCCTTTCGTCCCTGTTTAGGCTCGGATTTGTCGCTTGGGATTGCAAGAGGGTGGTCCGCGATAACCCCCGCCGGACCATAGGGGGGGGAACGAGGGCTCTGGGTCGAGGTTCTCACCGTCGTTGGCGGCAGGAGAGCGGCCGTCTCTCCTGTGCCTGCCATGCTGGTAGGCCTCGCTGGGGTGTCGGGTGCGTATCACTAGAAACGTCGCTTGTCGGGTACCAACTTGTGCACCCCGTTGTCCCCTTGCTTTTGGTGGTATTTGTGTAGCTTTAGGTCGCCTTTTGAGTGACACAGATTGCTGTTTAGTCGATTTGAAGCAGGAGCTCATGCAACCTGCGACCATTCAGCATGGCCTCCAAGCCCCGCCCCCCCACATTCTATGTTTCTATACAGGCCTTGTCATGTTTTTTTTTTTTTCTGTATATCTATATGTTTTCTCTATTACAATTTTACGTCTCTTTTATTTTTCTTACCCCATATGGTTTCATTATATTTACTTTCTTTGGTCTCTACCCCTGGGGCCAACCTTTGTCGGCCCACAGGGCCTTGGTCCTCATTTGGGATCCCCACAGCATCCCTTGTGTTACCACTGGGTGTTTGTTTCTACCACTATTACCACCCACATTTTTTTTGCCGACCGCAACCTAACTGCGGCTTTGTATACCATGATTTCACTATTTCTCAATAGTATAATAGCCGCGCTCTGTCAGCGGCTCCATATTTTCGTTTTCCCGCACTTTTTGGTGACGCGCGTGGTCTCCGCCACGCTCAGTGCCGGCGGCCATCTTAGAGTGCGGCAATTTATTTCACCAACGGAATATACTCTGCCTGTCTTAACACCGTGGATTTTTTTCTGTTTGGTGGTTATTTCGTTTTTTTCTCTTAGTGCCAAGGTAAGTCTCTACTTTCATTATTACTCTGTTTGGTTTATTCCTTACTATACTTTTATATCGTTATTCTGAGCACCTCTCTCTCTATTTTGACTTATGACAGACAACTTGCCTAATAAAAGTGATTTCCCTGCAAATCTGTTGCCAGCATTATTAAACCCAAACAATATATCTGCCACAAGGGTGACCCCTTGATTATAACAGGTGACCCCTGTTTGCTGCAGCGCTACATTGGTTTCCGCTTGTTTACTTCTACTTTTGCAATATTGATATTTTTTTATTACATGAACCGTGGGTGACCCCCCACTTATTACTGCATTTTGGGTAACCCTCATTTTGATGACCCCCAAACCTAAATCTAAGGGTGACCCCTTTTTATTCCTGGGTGACCCCCAGTTGTTATCACAGGATGATGCCCTGCTGCATCTTCACAGGGTGACCCCCTGTTGTATCCCTGATAGAGTTGAGCGGAAACCTGGATGTTCGGGTTCGCGGGGTTCGGCCGAACTTCTGCAAAAAGTTTGAGTTTGGGACTCGAACTTGACCCCGAAACCGAACCCCATTGAAGTCAATGGGGAGCCGAAGTTTTGGGCACTAAAATGGCTCTAAAAAAAGTCATGGAAAGGGCTAGAGGGCTGCAAAAGGAAGTAAAATGTATTGCCTAAGTACTAATATACTTACCCAGTGGAAGAAGAAGAATGCTACACTGTATACAATTTTAAATAAAAAGTATACAAACATTGCCAGGACTCAGCTGTAAGCATTTGCAACACTTACAACAATCAAGTAACACACATTCATATAAAATGTAAGTTACTTGGCCAGTCAATGTAATGACAGGAATGAATAAGTAGATAACCCCCTAATTCCCACGGTATTAGAGAGCTATCTACTAAAAGGTTGAAAGACCTGCATTGGTCTTTCAGACAAATTTACTAATACTAAGTAAAGATTACTTAGTATTAGTAAATTATGCCCCTACTCGCTATACTGCGAGTAGGGGCATGTATATGAAACAGTGAGCAGTCTATGGCTTTCTCCACACAGACTGAGCTCTGCAGGGCAAGGCGTATAAAGTCTTGCCCCACCCTGCAATTAGGCTCAGAGCACTCTGATTGGTGAGTTTAAGTCATCCAATCAGAGTGCTCTGACAGGTAAATGAAGAGACTGACAGGTAAGTCTCTACATTTACCTGTCACAGCACTCTGATTGGTTGGCTTGAAATCCACCAATCAGAGTGCTCTGTGTCATTTTACAATAGGTCCCCCCACCTTATTCTAATTTAGGGCCCCCACACGCTGCTCAAGGGTGAGGCCAGGGGGGAGGACAATAGGTCCCCCCCCTTATTGGTATTTAGGGCCCCCACCCGCCGCTCAGGGGTGAGGGCCAGGGGGAGGACAATAGGTCCCTCCATTATTTTACTTTAGGGCCCCCACCCGCCACTCAGGGTTAAGGTCCCCTCTTAAGATTAAAAGCCCCCACTCGCACGTCACGAGTGGGGGGCTCGGGAGGGGGGCCCCGGTTTAGAAAAAAAAGGCTGCTCACTGTTTAATAGACATGCCCCTACTATCTTATATAGAGGCTGGGTCACATGCTGCACTGGCCAATCACAGCCATGCCATTAGTAGGTATGGCTTCTAAGGGCACACGAGTCAAACGCTTGTTGATTAGCTGCCCTGCAGCTTTTCAAAATGCGCCATTAAATCGCCGAACACCGAACTCTAACCCGAACTGTTACTGAAATGTCCGGGCTCGGGTTCGGGGTCAAAAAATTTTAATGTTTGATACGAACCCGAACTTTACAGTTCGGGTTCGCTCAATTCTAATCACTGATTTACTTTTCACTTGTTCATATTTTATATTAACATCAGCTTCATGTCTGAACAACCAGACTTTGCTGTTTCTGCTGAGCTCAAATCTTGGCTCTTCTCAGCAATAGCGAAATCAATGCCTAAAGCTTTTACAGCTTACCACGAACAGGCTAAACCTGTTTCCAAGCCACATGTTGCGCTGAATATTTCAGACTCAGATGAGTCTCATAAAGACGGGGCTCCGCGCAAGCATACCAGATAAGCTTGCTCTGACACTCGAGTTCGACCCTCTCTTAATTACATTCCTCAGCAAATCGGGTAAAGGTCTCCGCAAGGGCCTGGAACAGGGCCTAAAAATGTCCCAGGACAAATTATTGGACATTGCTGGCCCCATTATTCAGATTTTTATTTTGGCAGACGAAGCCATTGCTGAAGGTACCTTGGAACCACACTTGGTACATGAGTGGGCCCAAAGAGCCCTATGTCTACTGGGGAATGCTAATGTGGCTATGTCCACGGAATGACGGAAAGCTGCTCTCTATAAAATAGACGCTAAACTGGCAGATTTGAGTTCTAAAGAACTCGGTCCAGAGGCTAACGGCCTATTGTTTGGTGATCAGTTCATGCAGAACCTCAACAGGCACGTCTCTGTGTTCACCTTGTTTAATAAGGCTCAGACCTCTCTCCGCAGGGTGTTTTGCTCAAATCGTTTTTCTGGCAGAACCGGTCGCCATAGATGCCGAGCTACCAGCAGGTCTGCCTTCACAGGCTACAGGCCTCGACCAACTGAACCTTGGAACTCAAGTTATGCCCACCCCTATCACAGACAGCTGTTCACCAATAGAGGATCGATCAGAGTACGTGGGTCTGCTTCTCTCTGGGGTCGCTCTGCTCAAGGTAATGCACCTACTTTATTCTCTAGTTCATATTGCAAGCCGTCTAACTCGTTTTTTCCCACAGTGGTCACTTCTCACTCAGGATCCTTGGATCCTTCAGACTGTTTCAGATTTTTTTAAAGACTTCACCAGGAATTCCCCTCCTCCCCCGCTCTACAGATGTACCAACCGGGCACCGCCGT